TGTCTCACACACACACACAGCACCTCTCACACACACCTCTCACACACACAGAACCTCTCACACACAGCATGTCTCACACACACACACAGCACCTCACACACGTCTCACACACAGCACCTCTCACACACAGCACCTCACACACACACACACGTCTCACACACAGCACCTCTCACACAGAACCTCACACACGTCTCACACACAGCACGTCTCACACAAAGAGCCTCTCACACACACACGTCTCACACACACAGTACCTCACACACACACAGCGCCTCTCTGACACACACAGCACATCACACACACACTCACACATACACACCACCTCTCTCACACACAGTGCTTCTCACAAACACACAGCACGTCCCACACACAGCATTCTAAACTTCCTAGCTCACAAGCTCATTTTCCGGTAACTTACAAGGTGACTTGACAGCAGGGACCCCGTCCACACCCCTAAGTCTCCCAATATTGGGCACAGCCGGCAGTAAGCACTTTCCAGCAAGGGAATGCCGTCAACCCGTGAATGGTCTGTCCCAGGCACGTGGGCCCACATCCACACCGCTGCCTTGACAACAAAACACTCACTGCCAGATGCTGACGAGGTAAGGGGCCAGCATGACCGAGGGGCCCAAATCCCAGCTGACCGGGCCCTCACTGGTCGCAGTCTTGGGGTCGGGGCGCTGTCACCTCGGCCCTGGCTCACCGAGGCTCACCAGGCTCCTACCGTAATCTCACATACAGAGTCTGCTGGGGAGACCATGGGATGGACCCTGCTCTCCAAGGGGCTTCCCCCATTAGACAGTGTGAGGGCACAGCCCTGGGGAGCCCGTCTCTGGACAGACAGGCCTTGGTCTGTGAGGGCTGCTGGCCCCAGCGCACACAGCCCCGAGTCCATGCCTGCTGCGGACCCCCGAGACAGACGCATCTTTTAAGTTGGCAGGGTTTCTGCAGTCACAGTTATCTTGATGTCCTACAGGCTCCGAAAATCCCAAATGGCAAGTGGTATTTGAAGTACAGAGTGTGATGGCAGCCTCACTCCTCCTTCAAGGACCAGGTACGAAGCGGAGGTCCCCAGGCAACGTGAGAGATGGGGGAGGAGCAAACGGTGGGCAGCCAAGGCCACAGTGCGCGCTTGCTGGGGCGCGTGAAGCCGCTGGGCTGGCCGGGATGGGCGTTACCACCGCACTCTGAAGGCCAAGTGCTCTCCACTGCCAGTACCTTGAACTCCCTGTTCCGAGCAGACAGTTCGCAGAAACCTCCTTTAAAACAGCATCAGCTTTGTGCTCTTCCAGTATTTTCAACACAACGAACAGACCTACTTGAACGTAACACGCCCTCTGAACCAACAGGGCATTTTGTTTTTTCATATAAAAAGGGAACACAAGCTGTCAACAGGAATTACTGAATCACCAAGAAAGGAAGTCACAGTTCTGTTATCAAAACGGACACGTTACTTACGAGAAACACGAGTGATCCGTCGAGGCCTAGCATCTGAAAGGAATAAAGGATGATGATCCACGTTAACGCAACAAACAACTGCATCTTCTGCCCCATAAACACACAAGGCTTCCGCCACAGTCCTCCCCTCACGGAAGTGCTGTCAGCATCCCAGAGCCAAAGATGGACTGAGGCGGTCTTACATACGGGATCTCCTGTTCCAGACGTACGACCGTGAAGTCTAAAAAACCCCCTCTACCCTGGGTTTAAGTCCTTCGCTGCACAGGGGCTTGTCAAGGTTTCAGGAGACCTGTATTGTTTTGTGAACTGGAGTATCAACCCACGGCTGAAACGCACGCGTGTCCCATTTTCTAACCAGCCCCAAGCGGGCCAGGCCAAGAACAGAGCAGCAGCGGTCCACAGCCCCAGCCCCAGCCCGCTCAGGTTTGCACTCACAGGACGTCACTGACGCGTCCCCGGAAATTCCGCTCTAGCCTCTGTTCACACCAAACGTCGCTTAGCAGCCCCCGTGCCCGTCTCAGCCCAGCCCACTCTGGAGCGGCCGAGAACAGAGCGCCCAACTCACCCTCTCCCACGTGAGCTCCTCCGCAGCCCGGTCCCACTCCAGCGCGTTCCAGTTCATGTCATCTGCAAGTACAGTGAGGCGTGAAGGTTACTGGCGGGGCCTGAGCTATGAACAAGAACAGGTGTTCTTCCTTTGCCCGTCTGTAACCCGCGTGGAGCAGCTACCCTGCACCGTTCTGCTCACACCAAGCATCTGCTTGCTGGGCACACGTGAGGCAGCAAAGAAACACGGCGACTGCACACCGTGGAGCAGACTTCTGTTCGGCGAGGGGGCCGGGCGTGCGCAGGGCTGGCTCCGAGAGCAAGGAGGCAGCAGGGTGTGGGGCGGCAGGGTCTGGCCGCACGCGGGCTTCCTTCATTGCTCAGGTAACGCTCTCCCCCAGAGCGCGCCACAAGCCACTGGCAGGGCAAGTGTCAGGCACACGCGTGCACGCCAGTCCCCCCATTCCCCCCACTGCGGCCCTGCAAAGGAGGCCAGGCATCCTGCTCACAGCTGTGACCTCGGTGTTCACAGAGCATGAAGGCCCAGGAAAACCCAGGCGGCAGCAGCGCCCCGCGGACCCCCGGCTGCAGGACCTGGAGGGAGCACAGTGTGTGTGGGGGGGTGTGCAGGTACCGGCCTGTCCTGGGTCAGAGTTCATGCCACAGCCACACTGTGACAAAACCAGAGGCTGGCTTCAAGGCAGGGACCAGGCCGGTGGGAAGCCACCTTCCCAGTGCCACCGAGAGTGATCAGAGCACCGACCCCACGGGGTGGAGAGGGTGAAGCAGAGGAAGGTGGCCAGCTGCCGGCACCTCAGGGCCTATTCCACCTCACACGGGGTGTCTTCCAGTGATGCCCACCCAGTGTGAGACGCAGCCGCTAAGACACAAACGCCCAGCGCCACATAAAACCGTATGCATCTCAAGTACCATGTTAGTTCAGCACCGTAAAAAATCGGGAGAAAGTTTGTCTACTGAAGGAAACTGTCTTCTGGTTACGAGGAGTGGGAGGTAAGGGGAGGAACCCCCACAAAAATAAATAAAGCAAAACAAACCAAACTACTACAGGTATCTCCCCGTGTGTGTTCACAAACATAAATTCCCCAAAATGAAGGAAACACAGGCTCAGAAGGGAACTCCACACCACTAAGAGCTGAGAAAGCACCACTGTCCCCATTCAAGCAGGGAGGGCTGCCCGGACCCCGGGGGCAGTGCAGACGCCTCACCTGGGGCCCCGTTGTTGGCGTCGGCTGCATCCTCCACGCCCGCATCGTCCTCCTCCTCGTTGTCCTCCTCCTCCTCGGCCTGGTCGTCCTGCGCGTCAGGGTTCTCCCCCACCACGGCGTTCTCCGCTGGGGGGTTGGCAGGCTGCTCGGGGGCAGCGTTGTCAGCTCCGTTCCCTCCTGCTGGCACCTAGGACAGAAGGCCCGGAAGTTCAGGGAGCTCACCTCAGTTGTGCCAAACTGTACCCACCTCTCAAAAAAACAAGCAAACCAGAACACTACTCAATTTCCAAAACAGCATCTCTCAAAGTTGTCTTCCCAAATACAGTCAGCTTTGCATGAGCCTGGTACACAAGAACAAACTCACGCCAGATGCACACGCTCAGTCGCTGTACCTAAGGGCTGACGTGTCACACTCTCTCACGCTAGATGCACACGCTCCTTCACTGCAACCTAAGGGCTGATGTGTCACACACTCTCACGCCAGATGCACACACTCAGTCGCTGTACCTAAGGGCTGACATGTCACACTCTCACGCTAGATGCACACACTCCTTCACTGCAACCTAAGGGCTGATATGTCACACACTCACACCAGAGCGCACACGCTCATCTGCTGTAACCTAAGGGCAGACATTTCACAAACTCTCACTCCAGAGTGCACATGCTCATTTGCTATAACCTAAGGGCTAACATTGCACACGCTCAGTCGCTGCAACCTAAGGCTGACATTTCACACACTCTCACACCAGAGCGCACACTCTCATTTGCTGTAATCTAGGGACTAACGTTGTATACGCTCATTTGCTGCACCCTAAGGGCTGACATTTCATACACTCTCACACCAGAGCGCACACGCTCATTTGCTGTAAACTAAGGGCTAACGTTGCACACGCTCAGTCGCCGTAACCTAAGTCTGACGTTTCACACACTCTCACGCCACATCACACAC